CTTTACAGATAAAAGTAGTAAGGATCCCATCTGTTCAGAACTGCCACCAGCAGTTTTGTGAAATGTAGGTCTGGCGTTCCTGCAAGAGCAACCCCTGTGTCTGAAAGCACAGAGACAAAGCTTGGGCTTTGCTGTTAAAATAATAGCTCAGTAAATAATTAAACAAACAAACAAACAAAAATACTAAAAAAGCAGAACATATTCTACCCTTACTGAAATCATAACATTTCATTTTTCAAAAAAGTACAGGACTTCTCTACACTTCCCAAACTAGTAAAAACTTTGTTAATTCTCTTTTAACTTAAAATAGCAAACCCAATAAACCAGTGCTTTTATTATAAAAAGTTTACTCTCCAGCTGAGCATTTGAGTGCCAAGTTCCATCCAGAATCACACTTTCACAGCCAAATTAGAAACTATAAACTTAGAAACCAGTGTTTTATGATAGAATCCTTTGCCAGGCACTTCACTAGAGCTTGAGCTACCAGCTGCTCTAATAATAAGTGAATGTTATTGAAAAATAATAATACCGAGCATTTGGAAGCACTCTGTACGAGCAACTGAATGAATTTAGCGTATTATGGACAATAAAGAGCTCCCAGGGTAAAACTCCTTCTCTCGCTACAGGTGGATTCGACTTCTTCAAGAAGAGGGAAAGACTTCTCAAGCGGGGAAAGGCTTCGGAGCGCTCACAAACCTGCTGAACTCCATCCCAGCAGAAAAGTTAACCTGCTAACTGGTTAGTGTTGTTGAAGACACCAGCGTGCCCGGCGCCTTGGGACGGCTGCAAGTGATGGGGTGTCGGTGGCTGATACCCCACACAAAGGAAAAACGTCAACTCCCAAAGTTTGCGCGTGGAGACGCTGGAAGCAGGTCGTGACAACGCGATGTGTGTGATGGGGGGGAGCCCGGGAGGCAGCTTTTCAGGCGGAGATCGCTATCGGGCTAACCACCATTCTTCGCCTGCTTTTTTTTTTTAAAAAAAAAATCGCTTCGGCTCGCCACCTGATTATTAGGTTCAAAGCAAAACGAGGAGGAAAGGAGCCTGCTTCCTCGAAACTCACTTTAAACTCTGCTTTGAAAATACGAGCAGCATTTTAAAGCTGCGTGCACCAGGGATGAGGTGCTGTTTGGTCAGAATACCAGAAACCAGAGAATATTTGGAGTGGGACGTAGTTGCTTACAGTAGATGTAAGCTACCTGGCAGAATTAACGTGGGTATCGAGAAAATAGTCTAAATACCCCTTTAATATTTTTAAAAGCTCTTTGATCTCGCTTGGTATAATACAGCACTGCATTCCGGAAAGTCTTGTTTAGCCTCCGTGTGATAATGAATCTGCTCGGTTTGATTTTCTTTTTTTTTTTTTTTTTTTTTCTCCCCCCTCCCGATAGCAGAAGGAAAGATTGCGCCCTTGAATTTGCATGCGTCAGGAATTGACAGGTCAAAGGCAAGTAAATCACATTATACACGATTGTCTTGTTATTGTATCGATAACAACACGTTATCAGAACAATTAACACACTCGCACAACTACGCGGAGATCACAGTCGTGGTTTAACAAAAATCCAGATAAGTAGCTAAACTCCGATAAAGCTTTCCCTTTTTGTGTTTGGGGATTTGAAAGCTCTCCAAGAGACTCTGTGTGTGTGTGTGTGTGTGTGTGCCTGCGTGTGCGCTGTGCCGGCAGCCGCTCCGCTCCGCACCGCGGCTGCGGATCTCCCCGCGGGAAGAATAGCCCCCCAACTCTCACATCCACACCCCACACCCCCCCCCGTGGCTGCCTCAAACCAGGGGGGACACCTGGGACCTCCGGTCGCTCCTAACCCGAGTCCAACCTTGCTCCAACAAACCGATAAAGAGTTTCCATCACTTGGTGCAATCCCTCTTGAAAGCAGATTACTAGAGAGGGACAGACCTCCTTTAACTACAAGCGCCGCTGAAATAACCATGTGTGTGTGTTTTAGTAGCCAGCGGTTACCGCAAAAGTTGAGGGGGGGGGGGGGGGGGGGAGGCGGGGGGGAAAGCATTTTGGAAACGAGACCTTCAAATATAGTATTTCATTTGCAACTAGAAAAATATACCTGAGTCAGTACTGAACCATTTATAGATTTCAGCCTGTGAAAGATTCATGTACAATAATTTACGACCTATAAATTCTATTACCGTTTTCACTATTTGGAGGACTGAATGTAATCAGAAACACGCACGGGTGAAGTCATGGGTTTGCCAATGGCGACATTTTTGGAAGAGAGCAGTCCGTGACGTGAGGCATCTTCTCTGCTGGAAGTTAGGCAAGTATTTCTTTTTAAGATCACCTGTACGCGTCCCTGTGGGGAACCTGCGAGTTGGTGGCCGTGTGGTCCTCGGACAACTGGTGACCGCTCACTCTGCGGAGCCTGTGCCGACTCCTGTGGCCGTGGGGTAGAGCACTTCCCCACGCAGTTTCTGTGGAAGAGCTGCCCGGTCTGTCCCGCACCTTGCTTTGCCATTTGCGTGCACGGGGCTGCAGCCCCGCGGGTTCGAGCAGCAGCAGCCTCGGCGCGGCGGTGCCCACGGCCTGGCCCACGGGCAAAGAGTTCCTGGTGGGGGCATTCATCTGTGCAGCCGGAGGCTCACCCATGTGCCCGCCTTGAGTGCTTCACGCGGCTCTGTCGCGACACCGGACCGCCCCCCCCCCCCCTCCCCACGCCGCGCCCCGCTCTCGCCCCGAGGGGTGCGGGGGCACAAGCAGGGCGAGTGGGGTCGTGAGGGAAACGGCGTGGCTGGCGTGAAGAGCGGGGAAAGAGCCTCGCTGGAGCCGAGCCCACTCGGCGGCTGAGCTCTCACTCCCCACGCTCCGGGGGGCGTTGGCGGGAGCGGAGCCGGGCGCCTCCGGGAGCCGGGGGTGCCATCAGTGATGGCAACAGAGAGTGTCTGCTCCTTCTTCCCCTCCTCCCCAGCACCCTCCAGTAGGTGTTACTGGTTCTCACCCTGCTCGTGGAGGCGGCTGGGGACGTAGAAGCCGCGCTCTCGCCTTCCCTGAACTGAATTAGTCCGGGCGCTGTGCCGCTGGCACCCACGATGCGAGGGGAAGTCGGTCACGCCGGCATCCGATCTGTGCGGAGAGAGCCAGGGGATTAGTCCTCGCCTTAACTCAAACACCGTAAGGTTACAGGTGAACGAGCGAAATAGGAAATCTCTTCCCCGATCAAACGGAAGGATGTTCCGCGGCTCAAAATGCTGGCTGCTCGTCTCAGAGCGGGAACTCGCCGGCCGATGGGTTGAGAACCCGAGCCCGGGGCAGAGGGACCCTCTCAGCCCCTCTCGGTAGGGCTCCCGCCTTCGAGAAATACCATTTCCCCGCCAAACCCGAGCGCCAGCCCAACGCCGCTAGATATCTTGATCTCCCCGCTTTTGACAACCGATCGGAACTTTTTTTTTTTTTTGCACGGCTGAAGGGACTGTAGGAGGTGAAACGGTAGGCTTGGGAGACTGGGAGAATTTGGTTTAAGTAGTAGCAAACGGGTCGTAAAACACGAAGAGGGGAGAAGGGGCGGTTTATAGAGGAGCTGCCCGGTATTTTACACAACGCTCCGGCTGCCGTGGGACGCGGGCGGGCTCGCGGGCGGGAGGGGGCCGAAGGGCTCCCGCCCGTGGGTGGCCGGCGTAGGGCTCCTGCCCAGGCCCCCCGACACCCCAAGGGTGGCGGGAAGAAGGGGCGCCGGGGGCGGGGGGACGAGGACGGGAACTGCCGCCCCACTCGTGCATCGCCCGCGGGAACCCCGTCTCGGGCTTTTCCTTAAAAGCCGGGGCGTGCGGCGGAGCTGCCCCGGGCAGAGGCCAGCCCGCTGCCAGCCGGGGAAAGAGTTAATGGTTTGTTGGAGTCGGCACTTCCACATACCACGGGGGTAAGTCAAAACCGGCACGCCGGAGTACAGACAAGGCGAGCAAGTTCGCCCTGACTGACAGGCAGCCGGCGAGCAGCGCAGTCGGACCGCTCGGGCTGTGCGGAGGGTGAAGCGGCGCACCGAGCGGCCAAAAAAAAAAAAAAAAAAAAAAAAAACCAAACAAAACAAAAAACCCAAACACACAACCCCGTCCTCAAAATAAAAAAACACGCGTGGATTTTCTTGCGGCGCCACGGGATGCACGCCGCCGCCCGCGCCGGGGGCGTCGGGATGCTCTCCGAGGAGGCACGCCCGCCGCACCGGCCCTCCCGCGGGGGGAAAACCCCAAAACACTCCAAAAGACGTCGCTGCCGCGGGGCGGGGGCACCCCCACGGTGCGGGGCAGCGCCGGGCACCGGCGGCGGGCGGGGCGGCGCGGGGGCGCAGCGCGCATGCGCTGCACCCGACTCCCACACACCCCCCCCCCCCCCGCCACCACCCCCCCCGCCCAGACGAGGGAGGGAGGGGGCGGGGAAAGCGCTGGCCCCGCCCCTCCCGGCGCGGCGGCCCCGCCCCTGCCCGCGGCGCGCGGCGCGGGCAGGCCGCATGCAAACATATAGGGCGGCGCGCGGCGCGGGGGTATGCAGAGCGCGCGCGTTACCTGCCGCCGCGCCGACGGGGCGAGAGGAGGAGGAGGACGATGACAAGGAGGGGGGGGCGACCGCGCCGGACCCTGCCGCGGGCTTTATAACCGGGCCGGCTGCCCGCCGGGCGCAGGACGCCGAGTATTTTAATTAGGAGCCCCCCCCCCCCCCGCCCCGCTCTGCCCGCCCGCCCGCTCCGCCACCGCCTCCTCCTCCTCCTCCTCCCTCCGCCCCCCGCCGCTCCCGCCCGCCCCGCCGCCCCTCCGAGTCGGCGGCCAAGAAAACCCAGAGAGACCTGGCGGCTGCCGGAGAAGGGGGAGCGGCGCGGCAGGCGGAGCGCCCCGCAGCCCGCCCGAAAAAACTTGGCGGCGAAGTTTGTCCGGCGGCGGGAACCCGGAGGCCGCGGCGCCCGGCGAGTATGTGCGAAGAGCGGACGGCTAGTCGCGCCCCCCCGGGCGGAGCGGGGCGGCTGTGAGCGGGGGCGGCCCGCGCCCCCCCCGACCCCCCCCGACCCCCCGGGCCTCCCCGCAGAGCCTCAGCCGCCGCGGACCCCGTCCCGCACCGCTCCGCGCCGCGGCCGGCTGCCCCCCCGAGCTCCGCGGGCGGCGATGGCACCGGGCGGGCTCTGACCGCCGCCCCGTCCGGGGCTCGCCGCCGCACCGGAGACCGCCGAGGAGCACCGTGCCTGCAGCGGAGCGAGGACCCCCCCTCTCCGACCCGAGCCGACCCGCTCGCCCGCCGCCGGCTCCCGCCCTCGCCGTCGAGACTTCGCCGCGGCCCCGCCTGGACTCCGGCCGCTGCCGCTTTTCGGGGAGCCCCCGAGGAAGAGCCCTGGCCCGGAGGCCGGCGGCGCGGAGAGAGGCTCCGCGGCCCGGGCGGGGACCGGCGCCCGTCCATCCCGCCGCGGCGCCCTGACGGGGAGTCGCCGCCGCTCGGCAGAGCCCCGCGCCCGGAGCGGGGCCGCCGGGGGCCGCCGCCGCCCCGCACCCACCGGAGCCGGAGCCGGTGCCGCCGCGCCGGGGCCCCCGCCGAGATTGCTTTTGGAGGAGCGGAGCGCGGCGGGGGCGAGGAGGAGGAGGAGGAGGAGGAGGAGGAGGAGGCGGCGGCGGGAGAGGAGCCCGGAGGAGGCGGCCGCCAGCGCGGGGCGGGCGGCGGCTCGCCGGGGCGGCGGGGGGACACCATGTCCAAGCCAGTGGATCACGTCAAGAGGCCGATGAACGCCTTCATGGTGTGGTCGCGGGCGCAGCGGCGGAAGATGGCCCAGGAGAACCCCAAGATGCACAACTCGGAGATCAGCAAGCGCCTGGGCGCCGAGTGGAAGCTGCTGACCGAGTCGGAGAAGCGGCCCTTCATCGACGAGGCCAAGCGGCTGCGGGCCATGCACATGAAGGAGCACCCCGACTACAAGTACCGGCCCCGGCGGAAGCCCAAGACGCTGCTCAAGAAGGACAAGTTCGCCTTCCCCGTGCCCTACGGGCTGGGCGGCGTGGCGGACCACGAGCACCCGCACGGGCTGAAGGCGGGCGGGTTGCACGGCGCCGGGGCCGGCGGGCTGGTGCCCGAATCCCTGCTCGCTAACCCCGAGAAGGCGGCGGCCGCCGCCGCCGCCGCCGCCGCCCGCGTCTTCTTCCCCCAGTCGGCCGCCGCCGCCGCCGCCGCCGCGGCCGCCGCCGCCGCCAGCAGCCCCTACTCCCTGCTGGACCTGGGCTCCAAAATGGCCGAGATCTCCTCCTCTTCCTCATCCTCGGGCTCGGGGCTGCCTTACGCCTCTTCGCTGGGCTACCCCGGCGCCGGCGGGGCGGGCGCCTTCCACGGGGCCGCCGCCGCCGCCGCCGCCGCCGCGGCCGCCGCCGGGGGGCACACGCACTCGCACCCGTCGCCCGGGAACCCGGGCTACATGATCCCCTGCAACTGCAGCGCCTGGCCCGGCCCGGGGCTGCAGCCCCCGCTGGCTTACATCCTCCTGCCCGGCATGGGCAAGCCCCAGCTGGACCCTTACCCCGCAGCCTACGCCGCGGCCCTATGACCCGCGGCCGGAGGGTGCCCGCGCAGGGACCCGGCGCCCGCCCGGGTGGGTGCCGGTGCATCCGTGCGGCCGAGGAGGGGGGCGACCCGCCGCCGGGGCCGGGGGGGGCGGGGGCGGACTGTGGGGCCGGGAGCGGCGGGGCCGCCGCCGACCTGTTGCGCGTCGCCGGCCGGGTGGGATTGGGGAGGGGTGGGGGGGGGGGAAAAGGGGGCCGGGTGGAGGGGGGGGGGGGAAAGGGGAGGGGGAGGGTGTCGCGTCCCCCCCGCCCGCCGCCCCTCGTAGAGCTTGTGTGTGTTGCATGCGGTCTTTGCAGATAGCCGAGCTGAAAAAGAAGAGGAAAAAAAAAAAAAAAAAAAAACCAACAAAAAAAAACCCAAAACACACCCCCCCCCAAAAAAAAAAAAAAAAACAAAACACGAAAAGGAGGGAAAAAAAAAAAAGAAAAAAAAAAAGAAAAAAAAAAAAAAGGAACCCACCCGCCCTGCCCTAAAAAGTGCTTTTTTCGGGACAGACGCAGGGAGCTCCCTTCCTCCTCCAGGTCCTTCTCGCCACGCTGCTCCTTCTTCGGCCCTGGGCTTTCCCCTCCCGCCGCTGCCCCCATCCCCCCCACGCGATGCTGGACTGGGAAAAATCCCGCTGCGGCTCTACCACCGCCAAAAAGGGGGTGGAGGGGGGTGGGGGGTGGGCGGAAGGCCCGGGCTGGGCGACGTGCGGCCCCGGTAAAAGGAGGGGACTGCTGTATGCTTGGTTCGTAGCCTTTCGTGGGCCAGCGGGAGCAGATTCCACGTAAGGAAAGTAGTTGGCGGTGTGGGGTGCTGCCCGTCCCCCTCCGCGCCCTGTCCCGCGTGGGTTCCTGCCGTCCGCTGCTACGGGACGCTGACAGGCGCAGGTCGTGATTTCCACGAGAGGAAAGACGCGTGACTCTCGGTCCCCGTGTGTGTGTGTGTCCCCTCCACTAATTAAGTCTCAGACTGTAAATTTGTATATCTCTGTGGAAATGTTAGGTCTCGGATTGAAAACTCTGTTACTTACCTTCGCCCACGGTCGATTCAGTTTTAACCTGAAAAAAAAAAAAAAAAAAAAGAAAAAAAAAAAGAGAAAATGAATGCCTTTCAAAGGGAATAAAAATATTGCGGGACCGCTCGGGATCGCAATATTATCTAAGGTTAAATCAGACTTTTTTGTCTGAGTGATAATTATCTATTTATTATTTAGCTGAACTGAAACAGAGCTTTGCTTTGACAGAAGAGTATTCTCATTTAAAAGAAAATCCGTCTCCCCCACCAACATGAAGTGTTTCACATGTGTTTTGGAGTACCCTACCTGTTTAGCTTATTTTAGAGCAACTGCAATTCAATTGCAAATGGCGATTAAAAAAAAAAAAAAAAAAACAAAAAAACACAACAACAGATTTTAGAGAAAAAAAATCCTTCATCAGTTTAGAATTCTTTTTTGGTTTACTTTTGTAATGTGTATATTTTGACTAATGTTTGTGAATGAAGCTGGCTAACATGTATTTAGTTTCATTTTGGCTTTATGTAATATAAAGTAAAAAAAAAAAAAAAAAGATTAAGTATTGGTTTTAACATTTACGTGTAAATGGTTTTCTTGTGTGATCTTCTAATTTAAAGTTAGACGTCTAAACTATATCTGTAAATTAGATTACGACTACCACTCTGTTCATTTTTGAACAAAGAGTTTAAATAAAGCCTGAAGCAGGGAAAAGAGAAAATCCTCTATTTCTTGTTGAATTACTAACAAGATTTTTATCTGAATTGCCCTTACGTGCCTGGTCCAGGTGAGGTGTAAGGTATCCTCTAAAGGCTGTCTTTGTTTCACTTTTGAATAGATTTACTAGGAAATCTAAATCAAGCCATTGTTATTCAGAGCCAAAAACCTGATTTATCACATTTTTAATCGTGAATAGGAAAGAAGATAAAAAAAAACAAAAAAAACCCCACCAAGTTGTCGTATTATCTTTAAAAAAAAAAAAAAAAAAAAAAAGGCATTCATGGACCAGCAGAACAGAGTTCACTGAATACACTGAGACCGTTCAAAGCATTTCATCGGTTTCCAGTAACGTTTTTAGAGTGGAAAGTTGCCTGACCACTTTATCTGGTTAGCCTGAGAGCTTCGCCACTTAAACCCGTGTAATTTGTTCACCTATCTCAGCAATATTTCTGCTTTATTCCTGGAGTATTTTTCGAGGAGGTTCACAGTGACTGCTAACTAAAACCTAACACTTTTTTTTTTTTTTTTTTTTTTTTTTTTTTGCCTCTGAACCGCTTCCCTCTTTCTAGTGCCTGAAAACGGTGTTTTCAAATGTAAATCCAGCAAACCTCTGCACGGGAGTTTACATGCATCAGGGAAAGGGGAGCGGGATGAAACGGTCCATCCTTGTAGCAAGGGAATTACGAGCATCGCACAACGTGAATATCTACAAGGCAATAAAACAGAGCCAGTCACCTTAGGGGGTGGCAAACCCCGGCTCGTTTTGAGTGTGTGCATATATATGAAGTATATGGCTGTATAGGGTATATGTGTGTGTATATATATATTTTTTTTTTTCTTTCCTCCAGAATAGTTTGCGCTCTTAATTGTGACAATAACAATAGTTCCTGCGTAAATGCCTTCCAAATCAGCCTTCCCCTTGGAATTACGCTC